TTCACATTTTATTCAGACACAACAATTCCTCTAGGCCTGAAACTCAAGGATACCTCACTGCCTCAGACCCCAAAAAGTGAATTTGGAGGCAGCAAACTGGGGGTAAATGACTTCATTCCCTGCAGCTGTAATTGCAGGATTAACCCCTGATGTGTAAAAGGACCAAAGTTGTAATTGTGTGAAAAGCTGGTGACCATTGTGCACCTTGGGTGCAGCTCTGGGAGGCTCTGACTGCCCAAGCTGGGCCTGTTGAAGGCTTCAATAAATCCCCACTTTATTCCCTAATTCTGCTCTCCTGGGCAGCACATTCCACACACAAATCCTCGCTTCCCAAAGCTCAGCCCTGCCTGAGCTCAGGGCTCCAAGGCAGGCAGTGAACCCAAAGTGCCAACCCAAAGTCTGGGCAGCTCCTGTCCTTGTCCACCTCCCTCTCCTCTGCCCTCCCTCCCTCCCAAACATCTGTTTGGTCTCCTCCTAAATCCTTAAACTACCAAAATTCCAGGTAAGAACCCAACACTATTGTGTTTTCCCCCTGGTAATTCCCAAATCAAATGGCTCCCATCAGTGAGAATTCCCTGGTTTCAAAAATCAGTCTGTAGGGAAAAGCTGTGTGAGGGAGAGGGGGAGATGTCTTGTGTTGGCTCCTGGTGAGACGTTGCCCTGCTGCTCTCCCTGGAAAGGGAAATCTTTGGAGTGGAAGGAGTTCCTCATTTCCCACCCTGCTCCTGTCCAGTCCTCCAGCACCAAAGCAGAGCTCAGGCTGCCTCAAACAACCTGAATTTAGAGTGCAGCAGAACATCATCCTCATCCTCCTCTCCCTGCAGTTGCTGGACATTGTCTAAAGTCTTGGAATTCCAGTTCCCTCCCTCATCCACACACACAAAAAAACCCCCAAAACCCCCCAATGCAGGCAGCTCCAGCCATTGTCTCCTCAGGATGTGAAGTTTTGTACAAAATTATATCCTTTGAAATGTTTTGGTGTGGGTTTTGCCCAATTTTGGGGTGATCCACCCAAACACAGGCACTGACCTCTCTGTTGAGTGCCCTTCCAAGCTTCAGACAAAAGGCAGCACAGGGTTTTCCACACCTGAAGACAAATTCCAGCACAGGGAGGAGCTGGAGCTGCTGCAGAGAGCCCAGGGGAGGCTCCAGGATGATCCCAGGGATGGAGCAGCTCTGCTGGGAGGAAAGGCTCTGCTGGGAGGGTTGGGATTGTTCACCTGGAGAGGAGAAGCTTTGGGCTGAGCTCAGGGTGGCCTTGCAGGGGCTGAAGGGGCTGCAGGAGAGAGGGAGAGAGATGATTTACAAGGGACAGGACACAGGGAATGGCTCCCACTGCCAGAGGGCAGGGATGGGTGGATGGATGGATGGATGGATGGATGGATGGATGATGGATGATGATGGATGATGGATGATGGATGATGGATGGATGGATGATGGATGGATGATGGATGGATGGATGGATGATGGATGATGGATGGATGATGGATGGATGATGGATGATGGATGGAT